CTGCGGCTGGCCAGGCAATTGGCTCCTTATCTCGGCCGTGAAGACCTGGCCACTGTGATCCATGCGACGGTCACCTCGAGGCTTGACTACTGTAACGCTCTCTACTTGGGGCTGCCTTAGTTGCAAATCCGGAAGCTGCAGCTAGTGCAGAATGCTGCAGCGAGGTTGTTGATGGGTCTCTCCAGGCGAGACCACATCCGACCGGTGCTGCATGCGCTGCACTGGCTGCCTATAGCATACCGGATTCGTTTCAAAGTGCTGGTGCTTACCTTTAAAGCCCTGAATGGCCAGGGTCCGGCCTACCTAAGGGACCGCCTCTCCCCGTATATTCCCCCAAGAGCACTGAGATCGGGGAACTTCCATCGCCTGGCGGTTCCACGTCCCCGGGAAGTGAAGTTGACCCAAACCAGGACTAGGGCGTTTTCAGTGGCGGCTCCCACCTGGTGGAATGAGCTCCCGGAAGAGACTCGGGCCCTGCGGGACCTAGTGCAGTTCCGCAGGGCCTGCAAGACGGAGCTCTTCCGCCAGGCTTTTGAGGGGGAGCCGCCGCCGCCACTGTTCCATCAATGATATTCCAACCACCTACCCCATATAGTAGGGGTGGGTGTCACCCAATAGAGCTGGGGCACATTCTTCCTGGTGACCTGTAAAGAACTTAGCCGCCAGTGTGGGACATCGGCCGTCTTGGATTTTATGCAAATTAATCAAGCACCAAATTTTACGTTAGATACATTGTTTTACTATGCTGTTGATTGTATATATATTTTAACTTATGTAAGCCGCCCCGAGCTGAATACTGGATGGGGCGGGATATAAATCCCAAAAATAAATAAAATAAATAAATACTCCACAGGGGGCCCTCAGTGTGGAGGTGCGAATCCTGGTTTATGCGCATGAGAATCAAATGGCCAAAAAAATCACAAGTCATTCGCAGTTGCATCTGATCACCCAGTGATGGGCTGAGCCCACAGCTACAAAGGGACGTGTGATCTCACAACTGTGTGTCAAATTCCTCCGGAAGAAATATCTTCACTTCCCCTCCGCTTCAACTGGCACATGTGACCACAGCCTAAGAGTTCTGCAACAATAGAATCAGCTGCCTAGGGAAGTGGTGGGGCGGCAGCTATGCTGCCCTGAAGGGTGGGGAAGGTTGGGGAGGTTAGTCTGTGTCTGGTTAATTGCTATTGCTTTCCTTTCAGGTTAATTGCTACTGCATTCCTTTCTGTGCTGTCTCCGCTGTGCGCCGAAATGCTTATCTATACAGTTGTGCAGGAGGATGTTGTAGTGTCTGGGATTTCCCTAGGTGCCGTGGGAGAGTGTTCGTTCTCAGCTTCAGCTACCTAACGGTCTCTAAGCCTTATCCCGCGCGCGAGAGGGTGCCTAATTGACCAGTGCTGTGGGGGGGGGGTGCATACGAATACCCTATATCCTATTATGCCCATGGGGCCGCCGCCATTCTTAACAGTGCTTATGTTACTGCATCTATAGCTGTGCAATAAAAGTATTACCGTTCCTGAATGTGTGTACTTCATTGTTGGCTGTGGGTTCTGACATGGGCTCTCCCTCACTGGCAGTCTTCAAGCGGCGGCTGGGAGAAACCGCGTCAGGGAGGCTATAGGCTGGTCCTACACTGAGCAGGGGGTTGGACTAGACAGCCTGTATGGCCCCTTCCAACTTTATGATTCTATGATTCTAAGATGGCTATTCATTTATACATTTATGTCAGAAGACTTATATCTCAACCCTGTTAGTCGTTTTAAAACAATAAAAGAGCAAGAGTCCTGTTGCACCTTAAAGATGAACGAAATTTGTGGTACCTGGAGGTATCTGAAGAAGTGAGCAGTGACTGACGAAAGCTTGTCCCCACCACAAATGTTGTTAGTCTTTAAGATGCTCCTGGACTTTCGCTCTTTTCTACAGCTACAGACAGAATGACTGTCAGCTATGCTGCCATATGGTTTATAGGCCTAGGGGTAGCCTGCCTGACCTGTGTACAAGTTGGTGCCACATTCCTTCCCTCTCACTTCTCCCCTTATTATCTCTGACCTTGTACTCCTGCCTGTGTAGTGTTTAACCGTGAGACTAGTTTCCTTTCTCAGCCTAGGATCGGTTACTCTTTCCGGCCCGCGGGAAAAGGGGCGATTGGCCCACAGGTGGGGGGGGGACCTTTTGAATCTGCTATATTATTGTATGCTTGTTCCTGGCTAGTCATTCCAAACAGTGACCATGTTACTGCAACCCTAGTAATGACAATAAAGCAAAACCTTTCTTAGAAGTGTGTGCTCCGTTGTTTGGCTGTGGGTCCTGACACTGACATGGCGAGTCCAATGTTTCCTCTAAGCTCTACAGGGTTGTGAGTAGAAATTCTACCTCATGAGCAAAAAAAAGCTAATAGCATTAAAGCTGTGGGCCAGTATACATTTGACTATTGCATAAATTAGGTTTTTGGAAGATTACTTCCATAACCTTGTAAAAATCTCAGAATGATTTATTTAAAATTATACTTTTAGAATAATTTAAACATTATAATTGAAAACAGAATCAAGTCAAATTTCACCCACCTCCTTCCTCTATATTGGCAGACCTGTCCTCCAAAGAAGAGGTCTACCCAACTCTTTCCACTATATTGGTAGACCTGTCCTCTGGAGAACAGGTCTACCCGCCCCAGGCCACTATATTGGTAGACCTGGCCTCCAGAGAATGAGGGGTAACTCTTGCAGTCTGCTTTGGTTTTTTTAATGAAATATGACAACCAGCATTACAGGTCAAGCATAACAGAGGAAGAACAATCACTGTGAGAATACTACCTAACTTAACAAACAGGAAGTTGTTTAAATGTTATCAACCTGCCCAATACTTATTTATTCAAGTATTTATAGCCCACTTTTCCCTGTGACTCCAGGCAGCTTATAAATCATACTGAAAAACATAATAGGGGTGTGCAAAAATATATATATCATTCCCCTCACAGCTCCATTGTAGCCTATGGGGACCATTATACTCAATAGGCCCCATAGGTTATAATGGAGAATTGATTTGGGGGTATCTCAGGCTCTGGAATGGGCTCTTGTTTTAGGGAGAGGCACCAAATTTGTTTGAGATAGAGGCACCAAATTTGCAAAAATCCCCCCAAGTTTCAAAAAGATTGGACCAGGGGTCCAGTTCTATGGGTCCCAGAAGTAGGTGGCCCCAACCTCCATTATTTCCAATGGAGGAAAAAATGTCAATTTTTCTTGGGGGTAGTGTTTATTTAATCAGCATTACGTTTTTGCCTGGGCTATCCAGGTCATGGCTCAGTTGAAGAGCCTCTGCTTGGCATGCAGGGTTCTACCCCTGGGACCTCCAGTTAAAAGGACCAGGCTGTGGCTTGTTATGAGAAAGACTTCAACCTGAGACTCTGGCGAGCCACTGCCACTCTTAGGCCCCTGCCACACGGCAGGGAAAACACAGGGAAAAGTGCGGCTTTTAAATGCCGCACCAAAGTTGAGACGCCGCGGCGGGATCCCATGGATCCCCTGAGCCGCGGCGCGGCGCTCCCCGGCACGATCAGATGCCGGGGAGGAAGAGTCGGATGGGAGGGGGAGGCTGCTGAACTGCGCATGCTCGAGCATGCGCAGTACGGCCGGGGGGCGGGATGCGCCAGCGCAAGGACACTCCGGCCGATCCCATGGCCCGGCTTGAGGCGCTCTACTCGAAAGAACCACCTAGGTAGGTGGTTCTTTTTTAGTGCGGGTTTTTGGCGGGAGGGACGGATCGGGGACGGGCAGGCAACGATTCCCAGATGTTGCCGTGGGATCGCGCCTGTTTGCTCCGCCCCCGTTCCGTCCCACTCCCGGCCCAAAACGCCTCGTATGAACAGGGCCTTAGTAGACCAGGGGGAGAAGCTTGCAATGTCCAGCCATTTCATGTTTTCCCCTGGGTCCTAGGTTCTGAGCACTGACCATGAGCACAGGCTGGGGAGAGTAAAGCAGCGCTCTCTGCACAAGCTGAGACCCCGCTGCTGCTGCTGCCAGATTTCAGGGTGAGTGATTGGGCTGGGGAAGGCTCAGCAATGGGGGGGAATCTGGGATTCCCCCCCCCTGTGAGTTTTGCAGCCCCCCACTTATATAATGATTTATTTTATTTATTTATTTCACTTTTTACCCCGCCCTCCCCGCTAGGCAGGCTCAGGGCGGCTTCCAGGAACTGACAAGCAGTATACATTCACAATAAAATATAGAACATCAGTTAAAACATAACCAGTCAATATAAAACATTCATTAGATGGCGATAAAACTAAAGTGCAATTTAGGGACACATTCGGCGGTACCGCCACGTTAGCTCGTATAGGATCGGAGTTCACCGATGCTTTCACACACACTAAATAATGCACTTTCAATACACTTTACAATGGAACTTTACTGTGTAAAATGGCAGAATCCACTTGCAAATGGTAGCTGAAGTGGACTGAAACTGCATTATTTAGCATGTGTGAAAGCACCCTTATTTGCCAACTCCGGGTTGGGAAATACAAGGAGATTTGGGGTACAGAGTCCAGGGCCACAGTTAGGGGAGGGGGTGGGATTTAAGCAGGATAACTCCATGCACCCCATCCTCCAAAGCAGTCATTTTCTCCAGGGGAGCTGATCTAAGATCGTAAGAGAAGCCTATGTTGGATCAGGCCAAAGGCCCTGGATCAGGCCAATGGCCCATCCAGTCCAACACTCTGTCACACAGTGGTCAAAAATACCAGGTGCCACCAGGAGGTCCAGCAGTGGGGCCAGGACACTAGAAGCCCTCCCACTGTTGCCCCCCCGCCAGCACCAAGAATACAGAACATCACTTGCCCTAGAGTTCCTACCTATACATTGTGACTAATAGCCACTGATGGATCTCTGCTCCATATGTTTTTCTAATTCCCTCTTGAAGCTGTCCATGCTTGTAGTTGCCACCACCTCCTGTGGCAGTGAATTCCATGTGTTAATCACTCTTTGGGTGAAGAAGTACTTCCTTTCATCTGTTCTAACCTGACTGCTCAGTAATATCATTGGGTGCCCACAAGTTCTTGTATTGTGAGGAAGGGAGAAAAGTACCACTTTCACAGCCTGCTCTATCCCATGCATAATCCTATAAACTTGGATCATGTCACCCCTCAGCAATCGTTTCTCCAAGCTAAAGAGTCCCAGGCGTTTTAACCTTTCTTCATAGGGAAAGTGTTCCTACCCTTTTATCATTCTAGTTGCCCTTTTCTGCACTTTGCAGAAAAGTGCAGAATGCTATAATATCCTTTCTGATATGCTATAATATCCTTTCTGATATCCTATTCCAATGATACAATATCCTTTCTGAGGTGTGGTGACCAGAACTGTACACAGTACTCCAAATGAGGTCGCACCATTGATTTATACCGGGGCATTATGATATAGGCTGATCTGTTTTCAATACCCTTCCTAATAATCCCCAGCATAGCATTAGCCTTTTTTATTGCAGTCACACACTGTCTCGACATTTTCAGTGAGTTATCTACTACGACTCCAAAATCTCTCTCTTGTTCAGTCTCTGCCAGTTCAGACCCCATCAATGTGTATTTATATTTAGGATTTTTAGCTCCAATGTGCATCACCTTGCACTTGGCCACATTGGACCCCATTTGCCATGTTGATGCCCACTCGCCCATCCTTGACAGATCCCTTTGGAGTGCCTCACAATCCTCCCTGTTTTTCACCACTCTGAACAACTTCATGTCATTCTCAAATTTAGCCACTTTACTGTTTACTCTGAACTTAAAATCATTAATGAACAAGTTAAAAAGCATTGGACCGAGTACTGATCCCTGTGGTACCCCACTGTTTATCACCCTCCACTGAGAAAATTGCCCATTTATACTCACTCTCTGTTTCCTATTAATTTGCCAGTTTTTGATCCACAAAAGGACTTGTCCTTTTATCTTGTGACTATTGCGCTTACTTAGGAGCCTCTTTAGTCTGGAGGTCAGTTGTAATACTGGGAGATCCCCAGGCCCTACCTGGAGGTTGGCAACCCTATTTACAGCACGGCAGGACTAAGTCCCGTTTATGTTAGCTCCAGCCCTCATGACAATGAGTTCAACATCCCTGCTCTAACTACCTGGGAAAGCATTAAAGTTTATGCAAGAGCAGTTCTGGTCGTCTGGAGCAACAAAATTATAATTTCCACCACAGTGGCCCTCAGATGATACGTCAGACCTTGGATTAAGCAAGAGACGATCTTTTACTGACCACCTGATGGTTAAGGGAAGCCTGTCGTTTGGACTTCTTTGTCCAGGATCCTAAAGCCAAGGAGGAAGAGCTGAGGGGAGCCACGGGGGCTGCAGAAGTCAAGGGCCGTCTGCGGTCTTCGCTTTGTCTCCTGACCACTGGCATTCGGACAACTGAAGGAAAAAAAATTCAAGGCGTGACTCAGACCATTAGCAGACACCTTTCCACCGAGGACATTTCACTTTGCCTGTCAGACGCCAGAGATGTGCCGTCAGCGCCAAAGACGCTTTCCAAACTGGAACCAGCTCCACCCTACCAAGCACTCCATCTGACACAAGAACAAATTGGAGCCATTCAATTGCTGGGCCCACTTTTGGCCCTCCACAGCCTTACCTACCTCACAGGGCTGTTCTGAGGATAAAATGGAGGCGAGGAAAAGGCTCTTTGAGTCCCCACTGAGGAGAAAGAAGGTTGGGGTACAAATGAAGTAAAATAAATAAGGTTGCATTTACCTGTTGTGCCAAAACACTTCCTTGACGTTTGAATGCTAGATTCATCTTGAGCCACCTGAAACACAACATTTGGTCAGATATGTTTGGATTTACTCCCCAAATCAATGTGTGCAGCCAGTGCTTGCACGGCTTCTACATCACTGCAGGCGGAAAGATCCCAAAGATCCCAATGTTTTTAAAGGTAGAGTGCAGTCCTCCTGACTGGGAGTTACAGGAATGCAAGCATTATCCTTCAGGTTTACTGATCAAGGGTCACTTCACACAGGCATTTAGTTCTGAGGAGACTAGAACTGCCCCAATAGTTAAATGGATGGTGTTTCTCCAGCACAAAGTGCCACGGTGAACAGTGCGGACTGTTTTGCTGGCCCAGAACTCTATGATGGTCCACTTTCACCCATTGGACTGCCTTTTAGAACTTCAGGATAGTTTCCCAAACTACAGCTCTGGGTCTGGGATCAGCTGAGAACAAATGAGGAGCAGGAAAGCAGTGGTGAAGGTGGAAGGGAGCCAGAGCCCGGGACGGGTGTTGTCTTGGGGTCGCAGAAGCTCTGCTCCTCCACAGGGGGCCCAGGGCCAAGCGGAAGTGCAGGGAAGATCAGTCCTTCCAGTTTTGGCACTCTAAACTGGCATAATGGGAGACTGAGATACCCGTGATCATTCCAACATGCGCAGTCGCCATTCCGTGCGAACAAGACCATACACCTATCATTCAGTTTCAGAGCACACAAATACTTGCCCTAAAAATCTGGATTTCCAACAGGGCATACAGAAGGTGGGAAACAAGCATGTGCCCGATTCATACAAAACAGTGGCTGCACATCTTGAAAAGGCCTTGCCGTTTTTCCTTATGTGCGGCTGGATTGCCAAAAACAGTCACAACTGGACAGAGGCCCCAGTTTCATCCGCTAAGGTCTCGATGGAAATACCAGGGAGGGAGGGAGGAAATACCAGGGAGGGAGGGAGGGAGGGAGGGAGGGAGTGGAAAGGCCTCTCTGCCTCCTGAGACCCTGGAGAGCTGCTGCCGGCCAGAGGAGCTGGAGTCCAGGAGCACCTCAGAGACCAGACAGATCTCCCTGGTAGGACGTTCGGAGGGTCATGGTCTGGTTCAGTATCAGGTGGCTTCTCAAGGATGAGCCTGCAAAGCTTCCTTCCAGCAAGCCAGGCCCACGGTTAATGTGGGCCCGCTCTGCCTGGGGCGGCCCTCCAGACTAGTGCCAGGCAGAAACCGCGGGGGTGGGGGGGCTACTGCTTGAGCGCTGCTCTCCGGCGCTGCTGCTGGGGATGGAACCAGGGATCTTTACGCGCAGATAAGACGGTCAGTGTCTGGTCAGAAAGTCCCTGAAAG